CTTCTGCTCCAGATGCTAATTACAGTTTTGCCACCCTCCTTCTACAGAATCCAGAGCAGAAACTGCGATGATCCCAGAGCTTTAATTTTTCTGTCTTGGATGTGTTGCAGGGATTGATATCCATTTTATCCACGTGAAGCCATCCTATGTTCCTCATGGTCGAGCTGTTCGACCTCTGCTGATGGTCCATGGCTGGCCCGGCTCCTTCTATGAGTTCTACAAGATCATCCCTCTGCTCACAGAGCCAGCCAAGCACGGCCTCAATGAGGGGGATGTGGTGTTTGAGGTCATCTGCCCCTCCATCCCAGGATATGGCTTTTCAGAGGCCCCTCACCAGAGAGGTAAGCAATGCAAAGGCTCTGTTGGAATTGCAGTTTTGGAGTAAAACCTCAATCATCCCTGGCAGCCGTGGGTGCTGCAGTTTGTGATTGCAGATGCCTGCCTCTTCACTAAGGCACTTGTGGCTGAGGCTCTGGGGCTGGCTGTGGAGATTTGCAACAGTGGTAGTGGTAAGTCAGGTCTGATTTCGCTTTCCACTGAATTTCTTTCATCTTGTGTTCACTTTCTTTCCAAGGAAGGAAGAAAGACCAGCATTGCACACTGTCCCTTCCCACAGCTCCACACACACTTGCTCAGGTCACAGTCTTTGGCCAAGGGGAGGAGCACTAGCACAAACAGGTGTCCTGTGTTTCTCTTTACCTACAGAGTTTGACTCCATAGCAACTGCTCGGATATTTCATAAGCTGATGAACAGATTAGGCTTCAAGGAATACTACATACAGGGAGGAGACTGGGGATCTCGTATTACCACAAACATGGCTCAGATGCTGCCACAGTAAGTAACAAAGAAAATCAGTGCAGAAAAGCTGCCTCCAGTTCCTACCCTACCTTCTGGCTCCATAGTCCTACCTTCTGTTTGTCCCGCTTCACATCCCCTTCTACTTTTTTTCCTCCATAGATAACCCCATACTGCATATTCATATGCTTTGTATTTTTTTTAATCACCATGAACCTGAAGGGCTTTATGTATTTGATTCACTCTAGTTTTTATCTCACAGCTGCAGTTAGACTTGTTTTCTAGAAAACTTGGAGAAAGAAAATTGCTTGTTTTAACCTTCTATTCCTTCATTTACTTTTAGGTCTGTGAAAGGGCTGCATCTGAATCTTGTTTTCATTGCCAGACAAAGTTTGAGAAGGTTGATTTGTATAATGCTTGGGGCTTATGTTCCATGGCTTGTAGGCTTCAGTAGGGAAGATGCTCGACGTTTCTACCCTTTCATGCAGAAGAATGTGTATGATGTCCTGCGAGAGTCTGGATACATGCACATCCAAGCCACCAAACCAGACACTGCAGGTAATGCACCTTCTGTGTGTCTCTGTGAACATGGTACACTAACCACTCATGGTACATGAAAACAAAGGCCATCCAAATTTGAGAAGCAATGAGTTTTGGTGACTGAGTACAAGACCCATGTGGACAATGAGTTCATGGGGACAAGAAACATGTAAAATGAAATTCAAAGAAACCACCTCAAAAAAAGATGGAGATTTCAAGTATAACTTTTCAAGGTCTTTTAAATAGCATGCCACTTGTCTTGGGAACTAACCCCTTTCCAAAGAGTCTCTCAAAAGTAAAACACAGAGTCCTAAATTTGAAGCTTCAAGAAATAAATGGGGCTGAAAATAAGAAAAATACCACAAGCAAGGAGGTGCAATGTGGAAGTTGCAGAAAGGTAGACAAAGCTCAAACACCTGAAAAGCCAGAATGCTGACAAGTGGATAAGGACTATGAAGAAACCTATGGCCATTTCATAATGCTTAAAGGAATTATTTGCATCAGTCCCCACTAGTCAGGATTCTGTGATATTGCTTTCTTGAAGTAATCCCTCATCAGGAAAGACAGAAGAGCTGTCACAGGCTGGTGTCAGATTTGGTGACCAGAGAACAAACAGCCCCCATCCCAGCAATTCACCCAAGGAGACAAAGCTCAAACTGGAATGGCAACGAATTCCTAGACTATTGTTTGAAGTGATCACAAACCCAAAGAAATAAAAGGAGATAAGCAATATAACAGGTGGGAGGGAGTTATGGTGGTGGTGGTGTTTCTGGTTGCTTGAATGTTTTTAAAGGCCAAGAAGTGAAGATGTCCATAGAAAAATGAAAACGAGTATATCCAGTCTCTGATCAGGAATCTGACAGAATGGTTTTAAAAAAGAGAATTGATTTAGAGGGGATAATATCACAGGGAAATAATGCTTTAAGAATCAGAGCTCTGGCAGAAACTTTAAAAAAGGATTAAAACTAGTTAACATAAGAATCCAAGCACAGGAATAAATCAGCAAGTTCCAGGAGAAGGAGAGAATCACAAAAATCTGTGCTGACACCTAAACTATTCTACAAGATCCTAACTTCTCTATGAATAAAAGTTAATAATTAGATATAAAATTGACGACTATCCAAGCTTTGGTTTATAAGTGACTGGTTGATAAAACCAGCCGATAAAAACTGATATCAACAAAGTTCAAAGAAGTTTAAGTGGAGGAAGAAAATCACAGTGGGTTAAAGTTTGGCTGCTGCCACGTGAGAAAATCTATGAGGCAAGGGTAGTGCTCTCAAAAATCAGCTGCATCAAAGATTAAGGCAATTAAGCAAACACTTAAAAAAAAAAAAAAAACCAGAAACCATTATCTTCATGATATTCTGAATCTGTTGCATTCCTGTTAGCCTTATTTCATTGCTATATTTTAGAATCAGAATACATCCCACCCTAAGCAGGACAGTGGTCCCAAATATTTCATCTGAAATTTCTTTCCACAGCGTCATCTCTTTACATCTGAATTTGCTCCTTCTACCACACATCACCAAGAAGACAATGGGATTTCCTTAGCTCTCAGCTTATTTTCTATAGGAATTATTGGAATTTGTAGCACCCTCAGTTACAGCCAGAATTCCTTTGCAGGGAATTTGTCACAAATAAAGTTCTGTAAGGGATAAATAAATACAGACTCTCTACTGAATTCTCTAGAAAACTCTGAACACTTCATGAAAGTGCAGTTTAACTTGCACTGAAGTATTGCAATGCCTGGCAACTGCAACAGCTCTTCTCTTCTCCTCAATTAGGTTGTGGACTGAATGACTCCCCAGTGGGGCTTGCTGCATATATCTTGGAGAAATTCTCAACCTGGACAGACAAATCATTTCTGTATCAAGATGATGGAGGCTTGGAAAGGTAAGAAAACAGATGCTATTCGGTGAGAAGTCTCATGTAAAGAATGACTGCTAAGAACTAATATGAGGATACAGGTAAAATAGTGCCCATCAAAGCTGGAATTTAAGGATGAAAGGCTGACGTGACAAGCAGTAGTTTACACTTACTGCAGACTGCCTGCACACTACTGCTTCCACACCTGGTGGTTTTGCTCTGGACACACATAGGTGCCAATTCATTTCCTGCTTGAAAATAAGTGGAGATTAAGAGGGACAGAGTTCTTCAGGGCATGAGCTCAGTACAGAGCACTGAGGAACAGCTTCTAGTTATATTTCTTCCTCTCTCTCTCAACAGCAAATATTCTCTTGATGAGCTTTTGACCAATGTGATGATTTATTGGGTAACATCCACCATTGTGTCCTCAATGCGATACTACAAAGAAAACTTTTCCAAGGATCCTGATCTAAGTGCTCATAACAGGTAATTACGTGGCAAGCTGCAAAGCAGATTTGCAAATGACGTTGAAACATTTGCCTGTATCAACAGTTAGATCAACAGCAAATTTATTTAGTTCTAAGAAAAATAAAACCTCGGATTCTTAATTTGCTTTTGATAAATATAGTTAAGGGTCACTTTACTTTTGCACCTATAATGCACACAAGGTTGCTTGCAGCCAAGGCAATGCAAAAGACTTACCAAAGCACCAAGCACAGCCTGGTGTTCAAAATACAAGTCTAGATACTTATTCTCCAAACTAATGTCACTTGTAGCTCAGTTCAGTAAAAACAAAACAGAAGATCATGGGCACATGTAACAGAAAAGTCAAAACTGAATTAGGAAGGCTATTGCTTGCCAGAGGATAAGCTAAGGACTAGAAGAGTTAAGCACAAACCTGGAGTAGCAATTTGGAGAGCAGTACTTGAAACCCAGCACCTTGTGACAGCTAGTACATTAACGTGACTCTAAGAGAGGCTGACCACAAAATGTTGCTGAGCAGACTTCTCCAAGTAACTGATCATCTAAACAAAAGGGGGAGTCTTTCTTTGTGGACTGAACCAGCCCACCTTTCCTCTCCAGAGTCATTTGTTATGCATTTAAGACCAAATACTAAAGCAAATGGGAGTTGGCTCATTTCGCAAACAGGTGTGGTATTTTGTCATTAGAACAACACTGCAGCTTAGAGAGGTTAAACTCAAAGAGGGGAAACATTGCAAAATCAACCTCTGTGCAAAGTTGGCTCTACTTTACACCTCTGCAGGTATAATCTTCTTAAACTCAATGATACCTAAATAGATATGAAGCTCCTCAGCTGAGTGCAGACCACAAGGTGCACTGCACAAAGTGGGCAAACTTCTTCAGCTGAATGTGTTACCAGAGATAGGATTTTATAGATGGCCCCCCAGGACTTGTCTCATCAATGCAATTAACTTATGTCTTCTAGGGTTGGCGTGTATGTTCCCACAGGGATTGCAGCTTTTCCTCAGGAAATTGTACACGTACCACGTGCCTGGACAAAGGATGTCTACAAGAACATCATCACTTACACTTACATGCCACGTGGAGGGCATTTTGCTGCTTTTGAGGAGCCAAAGCTTCTGGCACAAGACATCATACAGTTTGCCCAAAAAGTGGAACAGCTGTGAGGCTGCAGTTGAAATACATGCACAGAATGGAAGCAAGTTGTTCTACCAGTAGCAGACCTTTCAATTGGATTTGTTTAATCCCTCAAAATAATTACATATATAGAAACGAGCATTTTATTTTGATAATAATTGCACCACTGATTTTTTTAAGTCAAGTTCTACATGCTTTCATAAGAAAAAATACAAACAAAAAAAATCCAAATAGCATCCTTTGTTCTTTCATTCCCAGCATCATATCATTTCTGCATTCATAGCTCAAGTATAATAGAATATGTAAACAGTTTATTGAAGTAACATTGCACTCATCTGAGGAAGAGAAGTGAAAGGAGCTGGTCAAGGCTTCTGTTTGAAAGCTTCTTTAAACACTTGGGCACCTTAAATAATTCTTAAATAAGTGTTACAAGCAGCTTTGGTGGAAGCGTAAAGGGCTTTGATCTCCTGAGCACAAAACTCCTACATTCAAGTTGTATTTCCTTCAAGAGACCTGGAATTTCATATTCAAGTGAGCAGTTGCACATCAGGCACCTTTCTTCACTCTCAGTTTTTCCCCTAGAACTAGCTTAAGAAGCAGCTACCGCACATTGTAAACAGATAGCAATGGATAATAGAGCAGAGAGAGCACTCTAATGTTCTCCAAGCTCAAAAATATCAAATGAAGTTCCTTCTACTTCTATCATCTCATTCCATTCCAAAAGGTCAAAGTTAAAATACACACCAAGTATAGAGGGTTACTTCAATCCTTACCCTCTTCCACAAAGGATTTTTACCACCTCATTGCGCATTTTTGACTCATAACAGCAAGTACCCTCACTACCAGTAGGTTCACATTTCTCTTCAAATGGATGGAGCTATTTGAAGCTACTGAAAGCTCGTTACAGCACAGATAATTGCCCAGCTGACTGAAGACAACTCCAGCAGATACCTAGTTCTAACACACTGCTCTCAGAGCTTCTCTCCCTGTCCTGTTCTCCAGTAGACACCAGCCCAGAAAAAACAGTTCTGATTCTAAGTGATACAATCTGACTAACAAAAGGAATTTGGCAGGTTAGGACAGTGCTAAACTTGATCACATTCCCCGACTTCTAAGCATTTCAGATATGCTGAAGTCTAAGTTTCTTCCTCAAGTGAGAGCTATCTTCCATTATTGGAACAGCACTTCTAACTTTCCCTGAAGAGGGTTAGCAAAGACACTGCTTACTTTTAATCTTGTATCTAACTTATTGTCAGGGCCCTTAGGCCTCCACCGTGCCCGTCTCTTTCAATCTCCAAGGCAGCACTAACTACAAGATTTTTCATTTGCTGAAAAGTCTTACTTTGGAATATTACTGAACAGAAAGTGAGTCATGGGGATCTATTTGATCAAATAGATGGGCAAACACTTGAGGACTCAAGTGGGGCACACACCACGGCAGCCGTGGCTGGTGCTTGAAGGGTTGCCAAGGGGCCCCTGGACACGGCTCCTCCCAGCTCCAAGGTAGCCCTGGCAGCTCCAGTCCTTTGCAGAGGAACTGCCTTCATCCTGCCCCATTCTTTACTAGCTGGAAATAAATCCCTTTTCCACAACAATATTACCTCTGTGTCCTGCTGCAGTTTTGCCCTCTGGGTTTCTTGCTATGAGGAGCCTTTTAAGGACTGCAGATGGTTTTCCTCACAGAGAGTTATTATGAAGGAAGTAACTTCACTGAAGACAGTCTATGGGGAGCACGGCAAAGGCAGGATCAGAAAATGACCATATTTAAAACTCAGGAGAAGATTGTATGTGACCAGCATTTTCTAGTTCAACAAGCACAAAGCAGGGGACTTTTACTCCCAACAAATTAATTCATTTCATGTCACAGATCAGGTCCCTAAAGAATCATTGGACCTGTGTGCAACTGTGCCTTAAAGTGGATTTGCCTTCAACAACAACTCAGGAAATAAGGACAACAGATGAGCGCAGCAAGCTACAGGAAGTGAGTAGACTCCATGAAGAAAAAAAATTCATACAGACACGATTCAAAAATACATGGTTGCATTTGCTAAAATTAAGGCCTAAACAAAAAAATGTAATCAATATTCCAATTGAACTTCCATGGAAACCATTCATTCACTAATGCCTTTGAGGGTCACTGGTGCTTGGAACCAGACATAGTCCTCCCAAGCAGGTGTGGTGTGCTGTGGAGGTGAAGCACTAACATGGAGGTCTCCATCACAGGACAACTTAACAGTCAGCTTCCTCCCTCGGGTCGGCACTTGGTAGTTGAGCTTGGGCCGGAACCACTCAACACCACAGTCACGGTGTCCTTGGACCAGGACAAGAGTGCCTGTGACAGGGAGAGCCTTAAGTTCGCTGAAGACATCAGCGACAAAGAGGCGGTGAAAGAGCTGGCGAACACAGGGCGCAGTCTGGAGGCTCTCCTCAGCAGCGCCCTCGCAGAACCCTTCCAAATTCAGCTCATAGAGCTCCTTGGGGTTCATGACATTGCCACCAAGTAGGAAAAGAACCCGAGGAACCAGTGTCAGACTAAACATGACTTCCAGGTGCTGGAACAATCCCTCCAGTTCCATCAGCAGCTGCTGGCACTTTCTGCTTGCCAGGCCCAGGGAAAGTGGCTTCCCAATTCCATCTCCATCCTGAAAAACAAAAACTCAAATTAGTACATTTAGTTATGAACAGGTATTTGTTCTAATACACTCTGCAGAAAGCATGGCCCATCCCAGAGAGTCAAGGAACAAGAAGTTTGTGTTCATTTTGAGAGCTATAGGTACCCACATCAGGAAGATGCACACCTTCCCTCCACATCAGGAGATGTTAGAGGAAGACAAAAGCACAATCCATAGCTACTCAGTTTGAAACTGAATTACGTTACTGATGAATTCCAATAGGAATTAGAAGCCCATCCTTCAGAGATCAGTCATCACTTTGAAATAATTTAATAGTTTGGGGTTTTTTTTTGCTTAGAGGTTTTTGCATAACAAACAGTGACACGCTTTGAGCGGAAAGTAGGAAACAATCGATTAAGAGCAATTTGTCGACACCTTCAGCAGCCTGAACTTAACGTTGCCTTCGCATCATTTTTAAAAGAAGAGGTAACGATTAGGGATACAGCCACAAGCACTTTACTTTAAAAGCGGCGACACGTTGCTGTACGAGCCACAGAGCGAGAACGGGAGGTCGCAAGCAAAACTCAAACGCCACGGCCCCCCTAATCCCCCGGCCCGAGGGCCACCTCCAAGCACGAGGATGACCCCGCGGACTCACCTGGGCCGCCTGCCGGCAGAAGTACGCGAGCTGCTCGTAGGGCAGCGGGAGCTGGTTCCGCTGGTGCAGGACGTGCTTCAGGAGCTCGCAGGCGAAGCGGTAGCCGCTGCCCCGGCACACAGCTCCCGGGAACGCCACGGCCACCGCGGGGCTGCCCAGCGCCGACCGGTCCCCCTGGGGTCTCATCCCGCCGCGATCCAGGCCCGCCAGCGCCGAGGAACGAGGAAGCAGCAACACGCCCCCCTAACGGCCGCCCCGGGTTTAAATGCCGCCGCTGCCGCAGAGCCTCACGGGAGGGGAGCACGGGCCGCGCCGCACGCCCTCCGGCGGCGGCCGAGACGCCGCGATTGGCGGGCATGGTGGGAGGCGGGGTCTCTGTGTAGCCCCGCCCCTTCGCTCCAGATCCCGATCCCGGTCCGGTCTCGGGGCCGCCAGGCTGAGGCTGTGTCGGGAGCTACGGCTGTTTCTTGCAGGGCTATCCGGGGAGAGCCGCAGGAAGCGGCTCCGCTGTCCTCCGACCCGCTGCCGGCAGGCTTGGTGGCTCCGGTGCCTTGGGGAGGAGCAGCATTCGCACTGCTGCCGGGAGGCGGAGGCGGGGAGCGTGCAGGGAGTGCCGTGTTTGGAAACATTGCGCCCGCCGCCCCATTGGGTGCCGCCACCAGCACACGGCGAGCGGAGGGCGGAACGGCGAGAGGAGACGCTCCGAGGCTGCTTTACAGGAGCCGCGGCCGCGCGTGCACAGCACCACGGAGGGTGTCAGTTGTACGCAAACAATGATCCAGCGTCGCCCTCCCCGGGGCATGCGGTGGGGAAGGAGAAGGCGCAGTGGCCGTGGAACTGGAGACCGGGAATACACTTAATGAAGGGATGCGGCCACAGCTAGAGCATCCTTTGCTGTTCCGGCCGCCCCCGCCGTTGGATTTTAATGTGTCCTTTGAGATCACTCTGTATCGGGCTGCTGCCTCTGGGTAGTCATGAGGTACCTCCAATGCCAAACAACTTCGAAAGTGCCCCAGTTTCCCGAAGCCAGTCTGACTGATCGCTCGATGTCAATAACTAGGGAACCCGGGGCTGCGAACTGCAGAGGGGTAACCCACGGGCGTCCGCTGATCCCGGGGAGCGGCGGCATCCCGCGCGTTGTCGGCCGCGGCCGAGAGGCGGCGCCCTCTCCCTTGGACTCCAACTCCCATCAGCCCCCGCGGATAGAACCCGTACGGGAGCGAGCGGGTTGCGCCGCGGGGCACGCCGGGAAGTGTAGTTTCGAGCGGGCGGCGCGCAGTGCGTTCTCGGTGTTGTAGGCGGGCGGGACTCGCTTTCCCGGGGCGCCGCGCGGCGGTCGGTGACGCCGGAGCCGGGCCGGCGGGGCCGGGCGGGGAGCGGAGCGGGCGCTGCAGCGGGGCAGCGGGGCCGCGGTGTCCGCCATGGACTCCCGGGTGTCGGAGCTGTTCGGGGGCTGCTGTCGACCGACGGGCGGCGGGGCAGGCGCAGCGCTGCGCGGACGCGGGGTGGCCGCGCCTGGCGGCGGCAGTGGCTCGAAGACGAAGAAGAAGAACGGGCGGAGCCGCGGAGGGAAGGCCAACAACCCCCCGTACCTGCCGCCCGAGGTGAGCTCTGGCGGCCGCCGCGTCCTGTCAGCCGCGGAGGGAGCGGGACCGGGCCCGGGGGCGGGGGGTGCCGCCGCTGAGGGCGGGAGGGGCCGGAGGGCCGGTGCCCCCCTAGAGCGAGTCGGTACCACGGCCGGAGCCCGCAGGGTGGGTGGCGGGTCTGACTGAAGGTGCCGGGGCCGTGCCGGGGTCGGGCTGACAGCAGCCGTAGGAGCGGTCCTGCAGCTCCGGCCCCGGGAGCCGTGTGCCCGCCTGCCCCGCGCTCGCCTCCGGGCCGTGCTCGCGCCCCCGCTACCAGCGAATTCTCTGCGGGGTCCACCGGACCCTGTCTGCGAGTGGTATCGCACTGCCTGGCGTCTGTCTGTGGGCTCGCCTGCGATCCAAATAGCTTCGAAAATAAAGCTTTGCTCGCCTCGTAGTTCCGAACAGCCCGTTTGCATCTCTCTCTCCCCGAGAGACGATCTGGTGGGTCTGAGCCCCTTTCCAGCTGCCAAACGGGTTCTGGTGACCCCCTTCCCAGTAAATTTGAGAGCTGTTTCCTCACTTAGGGCTACAGAGGGTATGGACAGAGGGTGAGGCACTTGTCTCTTGCAGCAGGAAGAAGTGGCATTGGGAGTACGTGGGTGTGTGCTCAGCTGGGGCAGTTGTCACCAGTCTGAACTGTCACACACTAGAACTGTCACTGTCGGGAGAATTGCATCGACTCGTACTCAATTGCTCGGCCCTAGTCGGTGAGCTTTCTGTAAAATATATAGTAGCCTGTGCTGGGAAAGAGCAGTTCCTCCACAAGGCAGGCATGGGACTCTTGGAAAGATGGGTTAACAGCACTTTGCTACTGTTAGATGTTGTCCACAGGTAGTGCCCTGCAGTCACTGTTTAGTTCTTGTTCCTTTCAGCTGGAGGCTGGACAGTCCCCTGTGGTTTCCACACAGCTTCCTGTTTCTGGCTACCCTGTGGAGTGTGCCCCAGCAAGTCAAGACTTGTTGCTTTTCTAGTCTCAAAGTGCCTTGGAGAAGACCCGCTCTGTTATTTAGATGACAGTGCAGTAGGTGAATGGGAATGAATTTTTCATAGAACTGGAAAGCTGGTAGATGGCAAGAGAGGAAAACCTGCTACAAGTACCTTTTTCTCACGGCACAGTTCTGCTGCCAGAGAACTGAACTGACAATTGAGAACTTCTTTTGGCCTTTTGCCACTGTAAGCACCGCTGTGGTTAAGAGCTGAGCTGGAAGGCAAGGAGAGGGCTGTTGCCTCTCCTGGCATGCAAATAGGTGTCCAGAGGAAAAGGAAGTGCTTTACTGTTGCCAGCCCCATTTAGACTGACAGAGTAGAGTATGTGGCTTCCTGCGGGCTCCAGCCCTTTCTTAGTGGTCCTTATACTGAATCAATAGGAAAAATTATTTAAATATTTTATATCTACTTGTAAAATGAGATATTCTCTTTGGAAAGCTGGAGCCTGTTTTGATTGAAGTGAGTTTGATGAGTACCTGGCCCTTTCTGTTACAGCTCCATCTGGCTTCAGCCTTTCCTGAGAAAGTACTTCTGAGCATATTGTGTACAAACAGTCCCAATCAGGTCTGGTTCTCCAGAACTCTCTGGCCAGTGACTAGCTGGCAAAGGAGTCATTACCCCACTTCTTTATGTCTGTAGTCCTTCCTTGTAGAGAGAAGATACATAAGGATGTAGAAAGGAGTCAATGAAAAACTAATTGAGTGAGGGAGAGTATCACTGAGCAGGAGAGGGAGCAGAAGCTTTTGTTCCCAGGCCCCTGTTCCTGTGCACATTGGATGGATGGAAGCTGCTGGATAGGGTGGGAATGGGATGCTGTGGGTCATGGATGGGTGAGGGGGGAGACTTCACATCGTATGCTGGCCTGTGCCTTTTTGAAACTGGAACACTCTCTCTCTCTGTTAGGCTGACCCTGTTCTTTACTGTCCAGAAAAAATTCCCCCCCGGACAGTATTACCCTTGTGCCCCACTCTAGTTTTGTCCTCTCGTGTTCGTGATGTGGGGTGCAAACAGCACAAACAAACCATAAGGAAAGTTCTAGTTGAGTGTAGGAAAGAATGGCAGAAGGCTGGGACCTAACACAATCTTTCTGCCACTTTCCCTCTCTTTGAAATCCTCAGCATCAGCTTCAGAATATATGGGCAGCTGGTGCCTGTAGAAGGCCCTGTCGGCACCGCATCTAACTCTTATGTCTTGTTTCATTCTTTGACCAGGCAGAAGATGGAAACATCGAGTACAAGGTGAGCCTTTGAGGTTGTAGAAGGAAGTCTTCCTCCCAGAGGGTTATTTTACAGTGAGTAACTTCACTAAAGACAGCCTATGGGTAACATGGCCAAGGAAAGGATAGAAAAGTAGACACTACACTAAGGAACTATCATTCATCTTCTGTGTCTCTGTGCCAAGCTTTACCCAGTATGCTGAGCCAGAAAAGTTTGATCTCAGTACTCATTTTTAGGAATCTCTTCTAGTATATGATGCCTACTGTATTTTTTCTTGAGAGAGAGATACAGATATCCCTGAAAATGATTTGCCACTTTCTTGTGGCTCTGGCCATTTGCACTTCCTGGCTCCTGGATCACAGATTGGTCCCAGAGTGCTGTCTTTAACCCTGCAGCAGGCAGGGTACAGATCCCTTTGTCATGAGGCGGGAAAGTTCTACCATATGTTTGTACCTTTGTGAAACCCCTTCTCACCCGTCGCATGGCTTTTGTTCAGACACAAATACAGGCAGTGTTTTGTAGAGGAGGGTCAGAGTTGGGAGCATTGCTTCATGGAATTGGGCAATGAGATTTTCTCTGCATCCAGGCTGTGATTAGAACTACCCCTCTGTTAACAGTTAAAGCTGGTGAACCCCTCGCAGTACCGCTTTGAGCACCTAGTGACACAGATGAAGTGGCGACTACAGGAGGGCCGAGGTGAGGCCGTCTATCAGATCGGCGTGGAGGACAACGGGCTGCTGGTGGGCCTCTCGGAGGAGGAGATGCGAGCCTCGCTCAAGACACTGCGCCGGATGGCAGAGAAGTACGTGTTCCCTTTCATCTGCAGGGCCCATGAGCATGAACAGCCTCTGGTAGAGATGCTCCCTCCCTGGAGTCCCCTGAGTAGCTGAGGCTCCACCTACAAAGCCCTGTATGACTGACATTGCCTCAGTGCTGAGGCTCTGGAAACATGAGGAAAGTTACAGGGCTTTTGTCTGGAAGCTTGAGGCTCCTTCCCCGCTATCTCCAGCCTTCATCCCATTCATGTTGGCAGATGTTATCATAGAGGTGCAAGAGCTGTCAAGTACAAATGTGTCTCACTCCTTCGTTTTGTCTTTGTGGCAGGGTTGGGGCTGACATTACAGTACTGCGGGAGAGGGAGGTCGATTACGACAGCGACGTTCCAAGGAAGATAACGGAGGTGCTTGTCCGAAAGGTGCCTGACAACCAGCAGGTAGGGACCTGTGGTTTGGCTGTCTTCTCCTGCTGGAGACCTAGAAGCTTCATACGAGCAGCTTCCTTTTGGCATGAGAGTCCAACCCTAGAGGCACTTTGTCATAGGTTTGCCCATAGCAGATACTTTAAAGAGCTGCCAGAGATAGGCTTGATGATAA